TGCCCACGAGGTGTTGGGTGGAGATGTCTTCGGTCTGTGGCTACGGGAAATGGGCTCCGGAGGAGGAGGAGGCCTTTCGGGATCTGCCTTCAGGCTGGTGGTGTGGTACGGAAAACGCAAAAAAGCCACATAAACTTCTTCCGAAGGGGCTTCTGCTGTGGGAAGTTCTTGAAAAGAACACGCAGAAGGAGTGAGGAAGGGCAGTGCTAGATTTAAGTAGACTTGATTTCTCTCAGTAATGGAAATGAATATGATTAAAACTTTACATTGGAAACCGTGACAGACTGAGAGCCAAGCCTTATCAAAACTACAGTGACAGAGAAGCAAGCTCCAAGCGAGACCATCCCTCAGGGAGAGTAATCGTTGGTTGGGGGCCTTGAAGGCCTTCTGATATGTGAGCTTTGTCTTGTCCTCCTGCTCTTGTATACTTTTTTTTTATTAAACACCATGCTAACTGAAATCTGAAATAAGTTAAAAAAGCACCATGCTTGAGCTATCATGCCAAAATTTAAGCAGTGAGGCTTAAGTCATTAATAGATGCATAAGAATTGTGTATTTTAATGGAGTCTACTGTAGCATTCATTAGGGACATATTACAGACAGAATGATCTAATTATCTATATCTCTGTAAACTAGCATAAATTTTGAGGAGGCGTGGTTTTTAAAACGTCATCTGGTATCTTTTCCTTTTTAAAATTTCATCTCCAGTTTCAGTGCTTAATTTCTAAACCAGAAAGGCAGAAGCAGTGAATTTTTATCTTCTGTCACCAGGAGAAAGAATGTATGGAAACTTCCAACTAGCACTTAAAAGCAACACTGGGCATCTCAACCAGACTTACTTAAATGGCAAAAAGAAGCTTTGTTCTTTAAGCAAACTACCTATTCTTTTTTCCTGTTCATATTTCACTACTTTGAAATAAAAGTCAAATTACAAATTATACTCTGCTCAAATAAGAGGGGGATATAAATCACAATTTAGCTATATAATGCTGTCTCTCACAGCATATGCTAACTTACTGTTCTGTGAATTCAGTTTTTCTTCTGCCACACTGACATCTTTCTCTGTTTTTAACAGAGTATACCTGAAATACCTCCTAAGCCTGGAGAACTGAAAACAGAACTGTTGGGTCTAAAAGCAAGAACAAGCAAAGTTCAGACTTCACAACAGTGACCAGGATTTACACATTGTGAAAACTGATAAAATGTGCTCAACTGCATAAATTTGCATGTGAAATACTGTACTCCCTTAATACTTTGTTTCCTTTGCAGTTACAATCAGTGTTAAAAATAAATGTGCAATGAATGCTGTTAAGTCCAATCAGTTATGTGCCAAAATGCTTAAAATTTTTAAATTTGATCGCAGTGTAAGTATCCTTCATAATAAAAAATGTAAACTGAAATGGGCAAGTCTGGTGGAATTTGAGACTTTTAAGCTGATTAATAAGTATAGGAAGTTTAGCATATTGAAAATCAAGCTTTTGTGGCCACGTGTTAGCCTTAATAAGCTTACCTATTCATCTGCTGCAGAACCCCACTTGCCCACTGGCATTTCCCTAACCCAGCACCTGGCACACTGAGGGCACATGGAAGTCAGAAAGATGCACTTCTTGCACAGGACACCTAATGGTGACTAACAGCATGTGGCCTTTCTGTCTGTGTCATGGATGGGAAATCTACTTTGGTCTGCTGTAAGGCTGGGGAAAAGCTTACAGCTTGGTTGTACTGGTTTAAATGGGGCAAAAAAATACAGATTACTCTGAAACAATGTATGTTTGTACTGTTTTTGGGCATCTTCTGTTTACAGCTGATTTTGATAGCTATAAAAGTACAAAGCTGAAATAAAAAGTACAGGTTTACCTTTCGGTCCTGAAATAGAATTGCCACAAAACTCTCATACGAGGAACTAGTGAAGGTTGGGGATTGACTTCTGACATGGAAGATGCATTTCTCCTTATTTTCTGAAGGCTCTTCAGCTCTAAAGGCTGCAGAGGAAAGTTACTACTATTTTGACATGGAAGTCTAAATGTGTCCTGCTGCTACTGCAAACTGAGCAACAAGGAACGTGTTTTAGCCCAGCGTTTTCTAGCACCAAGGGAACCGTTCTCCTTGGTGCCCATGTAGAACAGCAAAGCTGACAATAGCCCAGGTTTAAACAGCAGAGATGACACCCTCAGAGTCAGTGTCACTGCTGCACTGAAACAAATAGCCTCAGTAAGACTGGGAGACATATCTTCCAGCATTAACACTTTCACTTCACAGATATGACAAAGGAAAAAAAAAGTAGCCAGCTTACAACTGCGTTTTGTACTTATTAATAGCAAACACTTGTCATTCCAGCGCACAGAAAGCAGCTGGAGTTATGTTGCACATGATATCCTCAGCTAAGGAAGATGAAGCCTAACTCTTGTGGCTCTTTATTTCTAAAATCCAATCAGGCAAGTCATCCTAAAATCAAACCAAAGCATTGAGAGCTTCAGGTATGTAACAGAACAAAGGTTGTATAAGTCTATAAGTAATTAACAAATTAAGACTACTGTAGCAAGCAGCCCTGTACCTCCAGTACTCCTCTTTGGTTTGTAAGCTGCATAACCATTCTTAACCATACAGTTAGGCTATGCAGGCAGGTGAAATAAAGATACAGAAGCATAGGTACTGATAAGTGTATCATTAAGAGTGATATTTTAGGAAGTGTTAAATCAAAACCCCCACAGCAGTTGATTGCTACAGAGCACAAAAGTTGCACTGCCCTAGTAAGAGGACCATGCCTTAAGAAGCAGCACACCTGCCCTATTCAGTAACATGCTAAAGAAGGACTGCTATTTAAAGCCCACACTGCCAGCCGCCAAACCACACTCCAAGGTTAGATCACTCAGCCTGCTCCAGTAACAAAAAGCTCTAACAGTATGTCTAAGATACTACACCACAACAAACAAAAACCAAGACAACCTCAAACTCCCTCAAAACACCCAAACTCAGCTCTCATTCCTTGAAGTCACAAACAGCATGCTTCAGTAAAGCCAACATCTGTATTTAGTGCCCTCAACCAATTAGAAAGTTTATTTTGCTTCAGATTGCAGAATCTGAAGCTTCACAGAAGTTCTGTTAATGAAATAAAGAGCAGGTCTTGAGTACAGAATTACTATTCCTATGTACTTCTCCCACAAAGGAAGGCAAAAGAACAAAAATTCAGCATAAACACTTCCTCCCGACCAAATGAAGATGTTACAGAGTAGAAGCACTAGTGAGAAAATGCAGTGCTTCATCCAGTCACTACTCAAAGCTAATTTCATGAATAGAAGAGGAAGCAGTACCTCCAGTTCAACCTGTCTACATTACAATTTGGTGTCAACAGATCCAGCTTGAGTGAGATCAAATAGCTACAGTGCTTTGCCATACTAGCAAGACAGAACACGACTGAAAGTTCAGCAGTAACAGCATCAAGGAGTAACTGTGAGACAAGAGATTTCACCTTAAAAAAAAAAAAATCCACCCAACCAACCAACACTGTAGAAAGCAAGACTGCTGCAGCTACAAGTCAAAGGCAGGGTTACCACATACCATGGAGAACAGTATAAGCTCACAGGCAGTAAGCCACTTCTGGTGGTTGTTCATGTATTTGGTGAATTTCTTTAGTTTTTCACTCGTCTCAGCTGCCTATTCTGTACAGTGGAGTCAAGTCACACAGTCCAGCGCAAGGTGGCAGGCCTTCAGTTCCAACCCCATTTTTAAATACCCTGTCTCATATTCCTTATGATGTCAGTAGATACATAACTTTTGAGACTAGCAAGTTCAGCCAGCTCAGATACCAGATACATTTTTGCTAAGCAACACAGCAGGTCTGTTAATGCAAAGCCCAACCGCAGACATAGGATACACAGTTAACTGTGGCTGTGCCAGTGTGGGAAGGCACGAGGACTGGAGGCTGCTTTGGTGTAGAAAGGACCTGAACACTCGTGACAATCCCTTCATTTCTTTGTGCTAGCCCACAAGATGAGCTCATCATATATAAATTTAGTTAGTGGTGTTTGGGAACATTTTATTTTGTACATGACAAGATTTTACACCAAGTCAGTTAAATAATACAAATTTACATTCATGAGGAATGTTTTTAGAAAAGTGAACTTAAAAAAAAAATTCTCCTTTACCCTTAAACCCCATACCATCCCTCAAGATTTTACAGTGGAAAAACTCAATACCATCTAATTCACATTCCCTCCTAACCCCCCAATCCAGGATGGTAATTGAGTGCAGTTTACAGTTCATCTTTCACATCTGTGGATTCCTGTGGAGACAAAAAAAAAAAAAAAATAATAAATCCTGCTTTTTGAAAGTGCAACAGGTAACTAGAGCAAAACTGACCATAAGTACTGCTGATGCTTTCCAAGGCATTAAGTACTAAAATTTTTTACAGAGGTATTAAAGCCAAACTTCTGGTCAACTGACAGCATGTTAAGCCTTTGCTATTACAAGTAAAAAATACTTTTTTTTTTTTAAGTCTGCTCAAACAGTAGTAGTAGATCTAGCATACCATTTCGTCTTCAATACTAAGCTATTTTCCAGGCACAGTATTAGTCCTGTTAATAGCCAGAGCTAGGAAGTCCATCTGCTTTCCAGTCAGTAGTCAGAACCCTTAATCTGCAAGTGTGCTAATCCAAAAAACAGAACATAACTTTGCTTCTTTCTATTATTGTCATTGCAGGTTATACTGCTGTGTAAATGAAATTGCAATAGCATCAAAATTAAGTAGCTACAGAACAATAAGCATCATTCCTCACATTTATTTTTAGGGAATCTGACTTCTAGCAGCAGGCAAGTACACATCTGTAAGCTATCTATGTGAACTAGTTGCAAGATGTCATGTTGCGGGACTCTTCCAAAAGTAACCTGAGAAAGCAGGTCCAGTTAGGACCTCAATAAAAATGAGTGTTGTCAAGGAACTGTGGGAGACTTTGGCGTTTTCATCAAGACATCATTAAAACAGCACACATTATTTAAGTGAAAGCTGATTTCATGCAACAGTTAACTGTTCAGTGTGCTGCCTGTAGTGCTGTTTCAAGTCTGTATGTTGTAAGATTTGAAACTATAACTTGCCAATTTGTTCATGTTTTTTGCCCACAAGCTGTGGAAATTCAACAGATAACATCAAGCTCATGGTAGAAGATCTGCTGCCATTTTCTTGCCATAGGGCACTCTGTTACAATCTCTGAAGCTTACTTTAGCTCTAACCTTGAACATATCTAGTGTTTTCTTAAAACACAGTTTGATAAGGAAGTGTCATTTGTGCTGCAGTATTTTTTCCCCTCCAAGAAAATTTGGAAAACCTCATGCTAAAAACTACTGTCACAAAAGGTGAAGTGAGCAAGTTTGTTACCAAAAAGCACCACAGACAAAACTGCACATAAATATCAGTAAGAGTCCAACTTAAAACCTCACCTTCTGTGTTTCACTGTCTTCAGCATCAGCATCCACCTCCTCTTCATCTTGTTCTGCCTCCTCAGCTGCATCTTCAGGCTCTTCAGGTTCCTCCTCCACCTGTAGGAAGGTCATATGCAATTTTCTTTTTTGCTCAGGATGTTTACTAGTTGTGGACTACTTAAATACAGGCTATGGAAGCATTCACTATCAGCTCTTAACATTTGCCCCAAAGCTACCTGAAGCATGAAGTACAGACTCATCAGTTTCTCACCCAGGTCCTTTGAACTGGGCTCCTGGTGGCCCATCTACATGTTGGAAGCTAGATATATTTAGTTTTACACAATTCTTTTTATCCAAGTCTATCAAATACATGCTTTTTAAGAGGTAGCAGCAGTAAATCAGTTATGAGCCCCAAGCTGAAAGCAAACTAACCTTTGCATCCAGGTCAATATTTAAACTTAAACGAAGCATCCTTTCTATTCTGTCTCCATATTCCTTAGTGTCTGGTAACATATATCCCGATCTCAAAGTGGCAGTTTCAAACAAGACGACTGCAAGGTCTGAAACTGTTTTGTCATCTTCATTTTCCTAATGTGGAAGAATATTAAGAAAAAACACCCAAAGGAACAATCAGAACTGTTAACTAGGTTTTATGCAGCCAAGCAGTCAGTATTTCACTATTGTTTTTTACCTTGACTCGCCTCAGCATGTCCTTGATAAGTGGATGCCTGGGGTTAATTTCAAACGTCTTCTTTTGGCTAGCATAGTAACTGGAAAGAAAAGTTACATCACTAAGTTTTGAAATATAGAACCCAGCTACCTCTTTAAACCTGTGAATACTGACTACAGCTGGATAACAAGCATATTCCTCCCCCTGCTCCAATTTAATACTAGCTTAACTCTAAAAACATTCAAGTTACTAAGACCATTTGTCTTCACTTGTCATCAAATGACAGATGGCAAATGCCAGTGATCAGTCTTGCTCACCAGGCAGTTTTACATACTGAGCTTTGAAGTAACAATGCAAAAGTGTGATAGGAGACTGCAACTGAGTTAAGTGATCTTAAAAAACATGAAGCAGCATCTGAACCAGATGGAACCTTGGTTGCGTCCACAACCAGCAAGGGAGAGCATCAACTACATTTCACATCTGCTGCTACATAACTCAACGCTTACTTGGTAGATATGTCCTTCCCGGTTTGGTAAGCTTGAGCCTTCATGATTCTTTCCATGTTTCCAGACCATCCATACTGACTAGCCACAAGAGCACATGGAGACTGGGTTAAACGTTGAGATAGCACAGCTTTTTCAATCTGTAGAAAAAAAAGAAAAAAGAAAGCCGTAATGTTAGCTCACAGGGCTAATCGCTCATATGAGAAAGTAACTCTTGAAGCTTCCTATCACTTCAATATTTTCTGAAGGCTGCAAGATGACATTCTAACTCATTTTCCTGAAATAAAGGTATTTAGACATACTTATTTATCCACAGGAGAAGCGACTGTCGAAGTCTACATTCCAAGTATCTACAAGATGTCTTGTAGTAAACACAACAGTATTTCAAGTAAGCATTACATATAGCACAACATTTTACCTTGTCTTTCAGAGCTTTGTCTTTCATCCAGTTTAGAAGTGGTTCAAATTCCTTTTCCAAGGCTTCCCGACTCTCCTTAGACTTTTCACTTTCTTCGAATTTAACGCCTTCTTTGGCTACATTCTGAAACCTCTTGCCATCAAACTCTGGCAGAGCCTGAATACAGTACTCATCTACAGGTTCAGTCAGATAGATCACTTCATAGCCCTTTTTCAGAAGACGTTCAACAAATGGCGAGGATTCAGCCTAAGACGACAAAACAGACCAGATGTCAGTTTAACTGCGCTGGTACCAGCAGCTTCTGAAACCTGTACAATTATTCGATAAATGTTGCAGTAGCAACTAAGTACAGAGTCTCCACAGTTACAGCGAAAACAGTTCACAACATTTACAGTCCAACTTTAACTAGGAGCTGTAATAATTTTCCCCTTCCGTTTTTCTTCCACACTCACATACCTCCTTTCTGCTGGCACCTGCCATGAAATAAATTTTGTCTTGTTTCTCTTTCATTCTTTCCACATACTGGTCAAGGCTTGTGAGGTTACTTTCATGATGAGAAGACTGGAAGCGAAGAAGTTTAGCCAGTCGTGTACGATTGGAATGATCCTCAATAACACCAAGCTTTACATTAGTACCAAACTCTTTCCAGAATGTGTCATTGTATTTTTCTTCTGCAATTTTCTTGATCATATCAAGAGTTTTGCGTACAAGTTTCTTTCTGATCACCTGAAAAGAAGCAATACCAAGTTATAATAAAATAAGCACTTGGAAGAACCCTCAATACAACCTTGCTGCAAATGATGGATTCAAGACACTTAGTGTCCCTTATCTTAACTGAACAGAGGTAGCCTGGAAACAGCAATGAGTGGGGGTTTTATACTCTAATTTCACAATCCTTATATAAACTAAAATTAATCAAGCTATTTTTCTAAACTTTGCTACTGAAATGAATTCAACATGAAGGAATTGAAGATAATTAGCTTACCTTTAACAATTTATGCTGCTGAAGTGTTTCACGAGATACGTTCAAAGGAAGATCATCTGAATCCACCTAATTGAAGAATAAAATTTTTTAAGTATAGCTAACAATATTTGAAGATTACAAAAGACTACAAAAGTCAAAATGCAAGTAAAACTTATACTTACAACACCCTTAACAAAGTTAAGATATTTGGGCATCATGTCATGGAAGTCATCAGTGATGAACACTCTTCGAACATACAGCTGAATTACAAGAGGAAATAAACAGATTATATTTGGTTTACTTTTTTCTCCCCAAACATTCAACCATACCCTCAACACTTGCTTGTCCTACCTTAATGAAATCACTTTTTTTGGATCCATATTCATCAAACAGGCCACGTGGAGCAGAATTGGGAACAAACAAGATAGATTTGAAAGTTACTTCCCCTTCAGCAGTGAAGTGGATGTAAGCCATTGGGTCATCATGTTCCTGCAAATAAACAATTTTTTAAGTGACATTGGGAAAATACTGGTGAGTTAATACATTCCCAGTAATAACATGAGTTTGCCAAATCAGTGCAATTTTTTACAATTTAACTAATCATGCATTGCTAGAATTTATTACAGACAAAAGTTCCAGATTCAGTCAAGTTACTAACATAAAAGTTGCCTTCCCAGATACCCACTAGCTTTGTTGCTACTTTTTTTTCCCCACAAGCCAACCATGAAGAAGTTACCAATAGCACAGTAATCAAATTACAGCGGAGTTAAGTAACATGTTATCTGTATTCACACATAAAGACAACATTGTTTCTACAAAGCCTTTTTTTTTTTTTAACACAAGTACCACCACTCTCAGGCCAAGTCAAAATTTCACTGTGAACATTTAAACACATCAGTAAGCTCTGTATGAGCTGGAACATACTACTTCTCCATATCTAGGCCATTCAACTCTTGAGTGGCTGTACCTTCTCTCTCTGGAAAAGAGATTAACTCCTGCAGAGATTGCTCTCTGCAATTCAGTCTATCTGCTAACAACAATTATGAAGTCTTCAGAAATAGCTCATTTTATGATCACTCAAGTTTTGTTTACACATCAAACCTCTTGCTTTGAACAATCTTGAGGCTTAGAGCTTACCTTGGAAAAGGTTTTGTAAAAAGCTTTGTATTCATCTTCTTCAACTTCTTTAGATGGTCTCTGCCAGATTGGTTTTATGTCATTCATGAGCTCCCAATCCCAGACAGTCTTTTCAACCTATGTATGTAAATAAACATCATAGTATAATAAAGACTCATTCTTTACTTCGAGTTAAGCCAGTTAAAAACACCTCACAAAGGCTCAGTCATAAAATAGCATACAAAAAATACATGATCTTTCTATTTACAAAATAAATTATGCAATGGCCTGGATATTCTCATTGAAGTATACACATTAGTGTAATACATGAGAACAAAACTTAAGTCTACACTATAGTGTGTCCTATGTACATTTAACACATTTCCTATCAGTACTTCTGTTCTACTGCCATTCCAGAAAAAAAAAAAAAAAAGCTTTCCTGCAGAGTAAACTCAATTTAAATTTAACTAGTCAACAGTGCCAGATTACTGGGGTCCACTACCATGCCAAGCAGTTCACACAAGTATTCATGAGCTGTGGGACCACTGCCCCACAAGGCTATTGTCAGTCATTGGCCTTATTTCAGTCAAGTCTGTTTTGTTCAGTTTCCTAATGTCTTACTGCACTTACATAGGATTGCTGTTTGAAAGCACACACACACAACTGAAGTGCACCTCTGAAAGACTACCTATGAAAATTGCTCCACTATCTGACAGAAATTACAAAATTCCAAGTCTGACAAAGCTGACCTTCTTAGTTTTTGGTTTCTTTTCTTTCTCCTCCTCTTCAACTGCAGCTTCATCATCATCAGTTTCTTCTTTCTCCTTTGCTTCCTCCTCTTCAACAGGCTCTTCAACAGTCTCTGTCTAAAGAGACAACTGAAAGTGAGGACTTGACCTGCTTGGCTTCCTACCAGGTATATTCTAGTATTCCCTCAAACAACTTCATCTCTCAGAACACTGATTTAACTTGAGCTATTGGCTTATCACAAGCACTTCTCTATAGGTAGCTATGGTTTCTTAGTGGCATTTTTCATGAATACGTTCTTTCTTTCAATACACTGGGAGGGTCACTGTAGACAAATTTTAAGTTTTTCATAGCTTTAAGCTGAGCTTTATACATAATGCTGATCAGAGCCTTGGGTGATTTTACATTAGTGCCACACCAAGAAAACATCAGAACAACAGGCCTAGAAGTTAAGATGCTGACATACTTTTCAGAAGGACACCTAACGATGGCTCTGCTTGAGAGCTCTCCAAAGCTTCCAGCTACCAAAGCCAGGGGAATAAAGATTTTCCTTAGTAATTAGCACAGTCATCCTCCTTTGGTATAGCTGAGTCAGAATAAAACAAAGTTCCTTGAAAATTTGTGATTTTTGCAATACACTAACTTTTGGCAAGCAAGTAACTAGTAAAATACTAGGTGGAAGAGTCTGGAACTTTAAGAATTAAACAAGTCTGAAATATCTGACCATGCAGTTTTCACAACCATAGCCCATACTGTAGAATGCTCAGTTAAATGTACTTACCTTGCTGCTCCACACATATATGGGGAAGTTTATGAATTGTGAGTATTTCTTTACTAGATTTTTAACAGTATCCAGCTCAAGATAATCAGATGCCTCCTCCTTCAAGACAAGCCTAAAAATAAAAAAGAAACAAAAAAAACCTCAAACAACTTCAATTAGTGCTGGACAAGTATTTTAGTTTTACAGGACAAGATACATTTTCCTACTGTTGCAGCTATAGTAATTCAAACTCATGCAAGTGAGCTTTTATTTCAGCTTCAAGTATCTCAAAATGCCACAATCCCTACATGTAACTGCACCAATGAGAAAGACATGATTATTTTCAATGATTAGACAGAACACAATATTCAAAGTTTAAATAGAAATCTCATATCATATTGATACTTATCAGAACCTTGATGCACTTTCAAAGGCTTTACCTAGACTGAGATTTGCATCAGACCAGTCTCACTGGTATACAAACAGCAGCCAGTCCCCAAGAGGAAGCTGTACAGCCCCTGTAGAGATTTCAACAGGTCACAAGTGTGATGAACTAAATGGGTCTGCAAAAGCAGCTGAACTGTCTGGAATTACTCGCTGACAGTTGTCAAGAAGCTCATGGCTTTCTTAGTTCATCTAACAGAATGTGAAGGGAACCTCACCATCATCCACGCTTATTTTTGACACAGTTAACAGTTTGTATGTTTCCATTAAACTGCAAAAAAAGCTGTATTACAAGAATCAAATAAGTCACAATTCTATAGCCATCTGCATATTCCAAGGAGCCAAGTATACCTATACAACTTTCTTCTTTTAAACCCAAAGAAACTTTAACACTTACGTTATGGTTGTGCCACGTCCTAAAGTGTTTCCTCTTGGGTCATCAATCACAGAGAATTCATTTGAATCTGACTCCCAAATATGTTGAGTATCGTTGTTGTGTTTTGATGTGACAATAACTCTGTCTGCTACTAAGAAAGCAGAATAAAAGCCAACACCAAACTGGCCGATTAACTCGGATGTTGACTGGCTATCATCCTGCATTTCAGTCATCTTGTTTAAGAATTCACTTGTACCAGACTTTGCAATGGTACCCAGGTTTTTAACTAACTCTTCTTTTGTCATGCCAATACCCGTATCTGTAACATGAAGCATGTTCTTCTCCTTATCACACTAAAAAAAAAAGAAATGTACAGTTTAACTTCACTTTGAATCTTAATACATAATACACTGCCACAGGAAAGTGGTGAGCAGCAGCTATCCAAATTCAGGCATGCCTGACTATAACAAATCAAATCTGCTGTAACTACAGAAATGAGGAAGACATACCTATGAAGTATTTCAATACTTCAGTTACTCTATAGAATTGGAAATGTATTTTCACCATTGATAAAGTTAATTGCAAGAGTTCTTATGTAGTCCTAGTTTGTATTTGCATCAGTATTAAGTCAAAAATTTAATGATACACGATCTTTTTTCACTCCTTTCGCCACTCCTCCAAAAGAGATGACTGTACCTTATGCTTCTTACCTTGATTTTGACTGTAAGCTCCTCATTACCAGCAAGAGCATTTTCATCAGTTAAGGATATCAACCGTATCTTATCTAATGCATCTGAAGCATTTGAAATAAGTTCCCTCAGGAAAATCTGAAACAGAAACCAATAGTCAAGAATTCCAAAACACACACAAATAGTTCCAACGTTCTACTAATAAAGACACTAACCTCTTTATTTTTATATAATGAATTGATAATAAGTTTCATCATCCTGTTCACTTCTGCTTGAAATGCAAACTTCTCAGATTTTTCTCTGATCTCTTTGATCTGGGATGCATTTAGGCCATCTAGTTGGATAGCTTCCTCCTCTCTGATAGGATAACGGAAACATGTCAAGCAGTCTTGTCCACAAACAGTATCACACTTAACTTTACCATCTAGCAACAATAATAGCTTAGTTAGAACAATACTAAGGCCTTTAATCACTGACACAGCCCAAAAGTTACATGATCAAATGAGGTTAAGTGCAATGGTAGCTATCTTGAACTGCATAACCTTAATCTAAACCTTGAGAGAAAAATCCATGCTTGCAAGTAAGACTTTTCCTGAAGAAGAAATTCATGGAAGAATACAAGCATGTTAAAACCACTGTAATCCTCAGCACATGGCATACCTCACAGGAGATGAGGCAGTTTACAGGCAGAGAGCCATTTCATTAGTAGGCACTAAATTCACACCATTTACCGCATGCAAGAGCAAACCCCTGGGTTTTATAAAGCTATTAATATTAGACAAAAGTAAGGTGACTATTTCTGAATCTAAATTCTCAAACTCCTATTTAGAAGGAAAGGTTTCTTCCAAGAATATTTTATTTCTCCCAGCTGACTAGATCTCTCATTCGAACGGCGTGTCCCTCATTTCTGAGGCATTACTGATGTCTGAACACAGCTTTCAGAAGCAAGAATAGAGCCTCAGCGTTTCAGAAGTAACTCACCACGAACCCCACGTACTAACCTCTGAACAACTTCATCATCTGTTCGAGACCCTTCTCTGCTTTTACCCAAGTCATCTTCCACGGTCCCATCCACATCCACCTCGTCAGCTCTAACAGATACTGGGGGAACAAGAAATCCAACGATACACGTCTGATCCCCACCATACAAGTTCTCCGCTTAACCCCACCAGGTTTAGGCTCATTCTGCCCCTCCTCCCGCCCCGAATAAAGTTCGGCTCAACCGGAGACTTCAGAGATGGGGGAAGGGGACAGACACCCCCTCC